CTTGCTCAACACAGTAACAACACACGACACTTGCTCAACACAGTAACAACACACGACACTTGCTCAACACAGTAACAACACACGACACTTGCTCAACACAGTAACAACACACGACACTTGCTCAACACAGTAACATCACACGACACTTGCTCAACACAGTAACACCATTGTTCATTTGATTTCTATACAAGTAGTCGTGCCCATTAATATGGTCACTATCATATTTTATAGACCGTTACACACGTCGTTATGAATAATAATACAAATAAAAAAAAAATAAACTACTACAAAACTCATGTTCTAGTTCACACAGGGCGGTGTGATGTAATGTTTGTAGTATTTCGGGATGCTATGAACTTTCACTAAAAAGGCATCATCAACGACACACCACTTCAGCATCTCTCTAACTATGTCAACAATACACCACTTCAGCATCTCTCTATGCAAACAACACACCACTTCACCATCTCACTGTCTATGCCAACAACACACAACTTCAGCATCTCACTAACATGCCAACAACACACAACTTCAGCATCTCACTAGCATGCCAACAACACACCACTTCACCATCTCTCTGACTATGCCAACAATACACCACTTCAGCATCTCTCTAAGTATGTCAACAACACACCACTTCAGCATCTCTCTAACTATGCCAACAACACACCACTTCAGCATCTCTCTGACTATGCCAACAACACTCCACTTCACCATCTCTCTGACTATGCCATCGACACACCACTTCAGCATCTCACTAACATGCCAGTGTTAGGGCACATGTTGACCTCCCACTCGTGTCATGGCACGGAACATTCTAGGCCTGATAAGCCATTATTGACCTGCGACAACAACTCAGTCCCCACACCCCACACCCCACACACCAGTTTCAGCTGGCCACTCGTTTTTTCCAGGCCCGCCTCGTGAAGAAGCAACTAGTTCGCATAGATTATGTTAAGACATCAAGGGCTTGGTGGAACCGCCAGTCTTCCTCCACCTGGTGGCAGGCTGTCTTACTACGTGTCCACTGGATTCAGCTCGGTCAAGACGTTTGTCAACTTAGGAAATATATCAACAAATCTCCATGAATCGGCCTTAAATAACAGGTTCGTACAAGAACTCGATTTAGATTGATAGGCGCGATGCACTCGATTACTTTTATGTCATATTGTTCTACCATGGTGTGAATGAAGTGAGTTGTCAGCCAATGAATCAGACGACCGTGTGAACAGAATACATTCTGCCGGGATCTGTGTTCAGGTGACAATGATTATAGTGTAAATTGTAAAAGGGGTGGGGGGGGGGAGGAGGGCCAATAAAAATACAAGGATTAATAACGAGCACATTTCTTTCAGAAAGATTTTGGAACGGTACATTCAGTGTTGTGGAATTTTGTGGAGCAAAACAACAACGAACGAAGATTGGGGTGTCCAGAATCCAATCTAAATGTCTTCCCAACAAGCCACAAATTGCATTAAAGTAGAGCTGGGGTTGAGTTTAAGTTGAGGTGAATGTAGGACTGGGTTTGAGATTATTGTGATATAGGTCCTATGTAGGACTGGACATTAAGATTATTGTGATGTAGGTCCCGTGTAAGACTGGGGTTGAGATTAATGTGATGTAGGTCCTATATGGGACTAGGTTTGAGATTATCGTTATGTAGTTCCTATGTAGGACTGGGGTTGAGATTATCGTTATGTAGTTCCTATGTAGGACTGTGGTTGAGATTATTGTGATGTAGGTCCTATATAGGACTAGAATTGAGATTATTGGGCTGCAGGTCCCATATAGGACTGGGGTTGAGATTAATGTGACGTACATTCTGAGGAAAACCCAAGCACCACAACTTATGGGCACTCTTTACAATCAACCCCTTCAATATCTTGCATATGCTGATGAAAAGAGCACTGCTATGGAAAAGGGTTAAAGACACACCAACGTTTTTTTTATTGAACTAGATGACTTACCACTACAAGCAACCCTGGAAGTTAACATAAAAAAACAACAATTTGCATGACTATGATAAGAGAAGAACAGACAGATGAAGCCATTAAAACATTAAAATTAGAAACCAAACTTTTGAAAAAGTAAATCAATTCAAATACCTAGGATCTTTATCAAATGAAAGAAACGAATTACTAACAGAAATAAAAGAAAGAACATCAGCCTGAAACAGGGCAAACTTCAGTAGCCAGAAAATACTCAGAAGTAAAAACATTACAAGAGAAACAAAGAAAACTATTTATAAAACTGTAATTAGACCAGTTGTAACATATGCAAGTGAAACCTGAAGCCTAACAAAAAAACAAAAAAACAACAGAAAACCCATTAAACACATGGGCGAGAAAATTTCTCAGAAAAATATATGGACCAACAAAGGATGAATATGGATGGAGAATACGAACCAACCAAGAATTGTACAGTCTATATCAGGATCCGCCGATAATAGCAGAAATATAAAAAAAAGGGCAGGCTACGCTGGGCAGGACACTTAGAGAGAATGCCAAATGACAGAGGAAGGAAGTGGTGAGGCAGGCCAAGCCCTACATGGGCTGTAGCGCCACAGGGATGGATGGATGGATGTCCATATCTAGAACTGGATTTGAGATTATTGTGACGTAAGTCCCATGTAGCACTGTGGTTGAGATTAACCTGTGGTATTTCTAGGACCGGGGTTGAGATTAACCTGTGGTATTTCTAGGACCGGGGTTGAGATTAACCTGTGGTATTTCTAGGACGGGGTTGAGATTTAATTGTGATGTATGTCCTACTGGGTTGGGTGATGAACAAAATCATATGTTGATGTCCATCTAACAGGGTGATGAACAAATCATATGTTGATGTCCATCTAACAGACTTAAAAGTATGAAAAGATCAGACACGTTCGTACACGTTCCAAAATTAAAATAACAATTAATGAAAGGGTAACAATGTTTAAAATAAATGTAATATTTCACGTACTAGATTTTTCATTTAAACACTCAGTGATTAATTCATAGTTTAAGGTTGTCCACCTTTGTTTCAGACACTGTCATGTTCCGTTTGTACCAAGAGCCTGGAGAACGTCACAGCCCTTTGACTTATGAGGAACAAAGTGACTTGGCCTTGTACGATGCTGTGTTGACCAATGACATGCCTCAGCTCAAGTATTTAGCACACCACACCAAACGTGATTTGAATGACTGTTTCCTTGTGGTCAGACAGAAGAAACACGAGTACTTAAACCCTATGCACCTGGTGTCCACCTGCGGCCACGCCCCCATGCTTAAATTTCTCATCGAGGCCGGATGTGACGTCAACAAGATGGGGAAGAGGCTGAAGAGAACCCCCGTGCACATGGCTGTTCTCAGCAACAACATGAGCTGCCTGCAGCTCCTCATCACAGCTCGGGCCAAGCTCGACATGCGAGACGTCTTCGGGAACTCCCCTTGTCATTACGCCGCCGAGCTCGGCCTTCACGGGATGCTGGACATGATGATACGGATAGGGACGCAGGTCAACAGCCAGGACATTACAGCCAAGACGCCGCTGATGAAGGCTGTTCGTAACAACAAGACCGAGTCGACCCTGCGGTTAATCAGGGCCAACGCGGACCTGAACATAGCGGACAGGAACAATGAGGTGGCACTGCACTTCGCAGCGCGGAATGGTAACGTGGAAACGGTAGACGTTTTGCTCTCTTCAGGAAGTCTAATCGATGTCCAGAATTTGTGGGGGAGGAGCCCTCTCATGGAGGCCGTGTCGTACAACAACAGAGATGTCGTCCAGCGTTTGCTGGCCGCTGGCTGTGATACTAACAAGCGTGAAAGCAAGACCGGAGACACGGCGTTGCACATTGCACTGCGCAGGAAGTACTCCAGAGTGGTCGAACTGCTGCTGAGGTACACGTTGCTGTCCCCTGGCCACACGCTCAACATGATCGCCACATACGACTGGGACGTTCACAGGTACACAGACCTACTGAGAGAACAAGAAGGCCTTCAGAACACACTTTTCCTAATGGCTGCTACCGAGCATTGCTATAACACCTGCCAGCTGCTCGTTTCCCTGGGTTCCATAGACCAGAGTGCGCGCCCGACACTGCAGGCAAGACTTGAAAGCATTGACCCTTCCGATTCCAACCACCAAAGCCTTCTCAAACTGCTGGCGACCATGAAAACGGTCATCCCCCTGAAACATGCCTGTCGCAACGTCATACGACGACGTGTCGGCCTCGAGCTGACCAGGAAGATCTCCACCCTGCCCATCCCTCTTGTACTAAAGGATTATCTTTTATTCAAGTGTGAGCATGCCAGATTTATGGCATCGGATTAAACCCAACTGGCACAGCGTGTATTTTACCGTGACATTTCAGAAGTGAAACGCATTTCTTTCTTCTCTTAAAAAGTAACAGTGCCTATTTACTGTTAGAAAAAATTATGCTTTGGCCGTGGCAGAGCTGACAACACGAAGGAGTCCTATCACCAAACAGCGGTGCTCGTAAACTAAAGTCTGGTTTTGATTAAGAAATATTGTATTAATTTATTGCTATATTGTAGTGCTGGGAGAAAATAATGTGTAAATCAGGGTTTCCCAACCATGGGCTCTCGCACCGGGGGGTGCGAGGTTGCATTTCAGGGTTTATGAGTTGACATTTCAGGGTTTATGAGTTGACATTTCAGGGTTTATGAGTTGACATTTCAGGGTTTATGAGTTGACATTTCAGGGTTTATGAGTTGACATTTCAGGGTTTATGAGTTGACATTTCAGGGTTTATGAGTTGACATTTCAGGGGGGTGCAAAGAAGAGGGATTATAAGAACAGAAGAAAACTACACTTGAAAGTTAAGATATAAATGTTTAATTATCTTTGTAAGCCTTTCATGAAGATATTATTACTTCACGGAAGTCACTTATTTATTTCCAAGTTTTACGGTGCTGATTGCATTTCAAAAAATATATCAGACGTTCACTATTTTTTTTTTTTTTACATTTGAAACGCACTGTTACTTTTGAAGGGTGTGCGAGACTTAGTAAAACAGTTCGTAGTGGGGCGAAACGTATTAAAAGTTTGGGAACTACTGGTGAAAACGCTGGGAGAAGGTAGGACGTTATGATATATTTATAAACGAGATTTGTAGGATGAGGACTAACTGCCAATGCAAAGTTCAAATTAATTTTTAGGATCACATTAGTATGGACGTCCTTAAACTGCAAACTCCTCCATTTATTCAATGTGACAACGAAAGTGGAGCGACCCTAGTGTTAACCCTAACCCTAACAAACATGCATCATGGCGATGTCTTCTTTAAGGTGCTCTCGAATATCAAGTTCATGGTCACGTACCACTCAATGCGCATGAATCAATTCATATTGGACGTTAAATTTATTCCATAATTGCAACATGGCTCAACATCCATTGAACCCACTTCAAAGAAATAAATCCAAATTCAATACATTTAATGCGCACAGATTTTAACAACACAATGGTTTCTAAATTTGTCATTGATATTTTTAGAGTGCATTAAATTTCTAATGGTTGCTGTTGAAGGTACTTGCCCTTGTTCAATCCTTTGTAATAACTTCGCTTTTTGTTCATGTGGTTCTGGCTGGGTGGCAAAATCTTCGGACGGCTAATTCACCCACTACCCGTCAACCTATCAAACTGAAACTTACGTAGACTCGTTGCCAATGACAACACATTATGTCAAATTTTCCGCCCTAACCCCTACCCCAAAAATAAGTTTTTCCTCTTTTTTTTTTTCCCCCAAGAGGAATATGACGTCACTGATGTCACGAAATAAAAAAAAAAAAAAAAAAAAAAAAAAAAAAAAAAAAAAAAAAAAAAAAAAATAATAATATTAATATATATATTTATATATATATATATTTATTTATATATAATATCGCTAGTGCGTTATATTTTCTTTTGTTTTTCTAAAATAGTTGGTGAAATAAATCTGCGGTGTAAAGGCGGGTGTGCCATTACAATATTAGTATAAAATAAAATAAATTAAAAAAGTGCTTATAAAGGATTAATACGAAAAACTTTGTATTTCGAGGTTGTTGAAATTTTGTCCCATTTTGATTCAGGCAGGCATTGGGTTTTATTATAGAAGTTTAAAAGGCTGTTGCACTTAATCTTACAGTTATAGAGAGCTTACTACGTCATAATGTAGGCTTTTCCCGTAGGTTGCTTTGGACTAGCAATTAGCAACAGGCGATCATTGAAATGGTATGAGTTCCTAGCTTGAGTCATAGCTAATCAACAGCAACTCATTTGGAGTAAGTTTGTTGACTTCAGTTCAAGTTCAACCGTACAAGATCACCAAGGGAAGTGACAAGACATTTAATTAATATTGCTGGCTGTTTTAACAGTGTTGTTAGTAAGCCTACCACCACCAGCGGCCTATGTGGCTGTGTGGTTCTTCTTAGGTAATGCGCACGCAAACAAAAGGTTAGATCAAGATCTTAAAATCTTGTCCTTTTTTTATCAATACATTACTTTGTGCTATATTTCAAGGAACAGATTACTTGGAGATGTTGCAGACTAATGACAAGATAGGGACCGTACAGAACAGACTAATAACAAAATAGGGACCGTTTGGGGGGGGGCGGCACTTTTGGGATTCAAATAGACCTATTTCATTACATACATATTGTGAGTCTATGTGTTGGGGGGGGGTGCACTTTTGATAGTTTGCCATGGGCCGCATTTAGTTTACTCAAGGTACGCCACTGAAGTAGGCCTACACAAGTACAACAAAAACAAACATTAAAAAAAAAAACTGCAGGTTTTTATAAACAGACGCTTGCGAAGTATCCTCAAAATAAGATGGTTTGACAAAATGTGTAATTTCAAGTGTTTGAATGGAAACAGAAATACAAACGAGAAAATGCAGATGTACAGGGCGCGCACATTAAAGAAACCAAACATCAACATCACAAGACAGGCCCTGATTTGGAATCCTCAAGGTACCAGGAAAAGAGGAAGACCAAGAGCCACATGGAAGAGGGGATTGGAGGCAGAGTTTAAGAGAATGAAGAAAAGTTGGGCTGAACTAGCAAAGATAGCCCAGGACAGGGACAGATGGTAAAGTCTTGTGCATGGCCTATGCTCCATTGGGCTGAACTAGCAAAGATAGCCCAGGACAGGGACAGATGGAAAAGTCTTGTGCATGGCCTATGCTCCATTGGGCTGAACTAGCAAAGATAGCCCAGGACAGGGACAGATGGAAAAGTCTTGTGCATGGCCTATGCTCCATTGGGCTGAACTAGCAAAGATGGCCCAGGACAGGGACAGATGGTAAAGTCTTGTGCATGGCCTATGCTCCATTGGGCTGAACTAGCAAAGATGGCCCAGGACAGGGACAGATGGTAAAGTCTTGTGCATGGCCTATGCTCCATTGGGCTGAACTAGCAAAGATGGCACAGGACAGGGACAGATGGTAAAGTCTTGTGCATGGCCTATGCTCCATTGGGCTGAACTAGCAAAGATGGCACAGGACAGGGACAGATGGTAAAGTCTTGTGCTTGGCCTATGCTCCATTGGGCTGAACTAGCAAAGATGGCCCAGGACAGGGACAGATGGTAAAGTCTTGTGCATGGCCTATGCTCCATTAAGAGTGAGAAGGGCTAATAATATATATAACAAAAAAAAAAAGAAAAAGATGTCCATTTATTAAATATCAGTACACATTCACATCTAATGCTGGCAGATAACGGGTACACCATAACAATTAAAGTTGACAGATGACGGGTACACAATAACAACTAATATTGGCGGATAACGTTTTGAAATATGTTTATTCTTATGGAGAAATGTCACGCCTTTAAAAGAATCTCAATTGTAACTGCAATTGTTATAAACAGCACAACTTTGACATTTTAGATTAAAAAATATTACATTATTTCCATAATAGTACTGTAGGGCCTGCTGACATTTAACATCGATAGATTATTGTTGAACAAGGTATATAAGTTAACCCTCTTTGGTTGGCTTCGCCACACTCCAATTTAGCTATGTGATGAAATTCATAAATCTTAAATGATCAGCAGTTTGATTTTTGGTGTCAATTCACTGTCTATACTGATCTTTATAGACAGTGAATTGACAGATCTGTACGGACAGTGAATTGACAGATGTGTATGTACACACAGTATATTCAGACATACTGATCTGGACAGGGAATTTACATATCTGTACCTACAGTGAATCCACCGATCTGTATGGGAAAAGTTGTTTAAAATATTTTAATTAAAAAGCAATCTATCAACACGTGACATCTGCATTGTAAACATTGGACAAGTCTTGATAGCATAACTGCTTGCTGAGCCCATTGTAACATCGGCTGGTTGTAGAAGCTAATTATTGTAACCACGTACACATATGCTATTTCTCAGTTATTTACATTTGGCCTTTAATTAAAAGGTTAATTTAAAAAGGGCAGTTCTCACTGAACAAAGGGTACAATGGGGGTAACTTGTCTGGCTTGTTATCATTTGACCAATTTGTAATGATTTGTTTATTTAATTACAGTGCTCTTGTATGACAGGCGTATCGTATTTTATGTATGGTCTGCCAGTTTCATTTGCTTCCATATTGATTGACAGTGTTCTTGCTAAAGTGTATTAAAGTTATTTTTCTGTTGCATTGCTGTGTACATACTGGATGTTCTGTGTGCATGCTTTGATTGAATCATATTGGATTATCTATGTACGGGTACATGAATTAATTGTATCGTAATGGATGTTTTGTATACATGCACTGATTGGATCATAATGGATGTTTTGCGTATGTGCATTAATTGTATCGTAATGGATGTTTTGTGTACATGCATTGACTGGATCGTAATGGATTTTTTGTGTACATGCATTGATTGGATCGTAATGGATGTTTTGTGTACGTGCATTCATTGGATCATATTGGATGTTCGGAATACATGCATTGCTCGGATGAAAACAGGAGAATTTCTGAAGGAATTCAAATATGGCTCATCCATGATTTTAAAATACTGGATGGCATGAGTTTTAGGCAGGAGGTCTGGATTCTGGGTATTGATAGTATCCTGGGATGGTATTTATTCTATCTGTGTTTACCAATTGTACATGATAAAATAAAGGTAGTTGTCATTCAATAATCTGCTTAGGACACAAGTAACAAGAAGAGACTTGAGTAGCAAGGTATTTAATTCACTTAACACAGGCATGTCATTGCATTCATGCATGCTTATTTAGTCAACTGACTGGTTCATTTTGTCAACAAACCTAAAAGCCTCATAATCAACTACATAGAGAAAGCCGTCTATATCACTATCACTGAAATGAGGTTGGGTTATCTGTGGTGGCCGTCTATGTCAATATGAATGAAATGAGATTGTGATTTCTGGTGGCGTCTTCCAATTACTTAGATAATTTTATTTCAAAGATTTGACATGAGAGTTCTGATTCCAAAAAGTACCACAACCCTGTACTTTGTCCTCAAATGTTTGAGTTTGATAAAAATCATGGAGTTAAACATCTTGGCTGCATCATTATAAAGCTCAATTTATTACCTCAAAGGAGTCTTTAAAAAAAAAAAAAGGACAACTCAATGTCATACAGATAATAAGACAATGTCACAGATAAACAGTTCATTATATACAGGAGCTGACAGACTCTGAGACTCAAACACAAGACCTTACGCTATAGCAAAGTAAATTAAACACATACAAAATCATCTCAATGTGCATATGGAAAAAGAAGGAAAACACTGCCAAATACTTCCTCAGATTTTATAAAACAAATAATTTTAATTAATATAAATTGTGCAATCTGCCTACTACACATTTCATGGTAGCTTGAACTAATGTAAGGTCCTTTATTTCAGTCTCAGCTGTGCATTTTATGACAGTATGTACTACGTCAATTTCTTGGCCTTGTGGTAGAGGGCATCTACCACCTTGCCCATGTTGTGTATTGTTTCTAGAGCATTGGTGTAAGTCTTATCAGAATGAGCCTCCTCAAAAACAATGAGAACTCCAGCACCTTGGTCCAAGATACCTGGCAAAGGAAATGCACACAGTGCAATTATTTTAGTTACAATTTTATAAATCCTTACCCAATATACCCAGCTTTGCTTGCGTTTGCTTTCGCAAAAATCTTCTAAAATTTTACCAGATTACAAAAATTTAGGTTCCTGTCAAAAACACTGTGCTAAAATAACAAACAAAATTTTACAATCTTTCTTATAAAAAGATCCACATTTATAAAAACTTGTGTAAACAATGAATTTGGAGCCCTGCCCGTTTCAGTTAATATTTAAGCTGGGATAAGTAAAAAAAAAACAACATGATTTAAAGACCAATCCTAATTTTAAAAATGTCTTTTTAAAAGAGGTATTAACTAATGACAAAATGGCTCTTTATCAAATAAAATAAAATAGGCTCTGCTAGCCTATTTCAAAAGGGGCAAATTTACTTTTCCTTAAGACAGTGGTAAAATATGCAAGTGAAATGTTCAAATTTAGCTCATTAAAATCAGACAGGACTTGGCAAAGAGGTTGCCTTTTAAATTTGTACCATTTTGGAGCCTGGCACCAAAAGGACATAATCTTTAATATTTTAAAGCAGTGAGTATTTACGGTTGGATAATGAACAAACTTTGTCTGAAAAGTTTTCCCATTAAAATTGTTGCAAAACATCAGTTTATTATTAGTTAATAATCCTCCCATATTTCTAAAGGGGCCATGAAAGGTATGTTTACCAAGTTTGACCTAGATCGAACAATTTTAAGTCATAGTTTGAATTGTAACCTCAGCCTTCATGTAGATCTTTTGCTACCATAAGGAGAACAAATTCTGAAACCACCTACGCATATTTGGAACTGAATAAAAAATATTAAATTTAATTTTGATTTCATTAGGGGTACATTTGGGTAACATCAAGGAGAGTTATGGAAACATTTATTTAGGATAAGGTAGACCTTCAGCAAACTTATGACAGATACATTCAGGTAATTTCCAGGAAAGTATAGAAATCTATCAAACCAAACATAAATGTTGTAAATCTTTTTAATACCATTGACATTTTCATAATCTTTATATGTATGTTGGGAACATTGTATGACTTTCAGGAAAATTCGAGAACCATTTTAAAAATCTTCTAATAAATTGTAAACAAAAGACTCTTCTGTGTAAGCATTATTTCAATACTAAAACATCTCAAGCGAAATAAGGTTCTATAAGGTGGCATTTTAATTATCACTATGACTGAGGCCCAATATAAAAATTCATTACATGAAAAGTCAAGTTAAAATGTAGAAGCAGTCCCATTACAACCAGTAGAAAAACAAAAAGGGATATAAGCATTTAAAATGTTACATTTGAGGCCCCAGAGTGAATATTATTAGTTTAGAATTCAACACTATTTTAATATAGAATATAAAGTATATGCCTACCAAGTTCGGCTGGCCATCCATCAATTCACTGAGAGCCCTAAATTGTTATCTAAGCCTACTGTTTATTTATTAGGATTATTTGAGGTAAATGTAATAAGGGCTCCTGGCCCAACTATGGTAAATATTATGAGTATAAAATCCTCCGTTTGGTCTACATCCTTTCAAAATAATTTTATTTATATATCTCATAAAAGAAAAAAAAATTTTCCCTCCATTTTTAAAAAAAATTTTTAATGAAAAATTCAAGTCAAGTATGCAGTTAGTATTTCCTTCTGGATAATGAAGTGTAATAAGGTACAAGAATGCACCCTTTACAAATGCCCCTGAAGTATGTGATAATTCTTATGTAATGTTCAACCTCCCTTATAACACTTAATAAACTGTAGCTTCTTAAAATGGTACAATGCAATGCTTTGTATATTTAAAGCATATGATTACATATTTCCCCCTAAACAAATATCTTTAATAATTATTTTTAAAAATGTAGCTATAAATGTGTACCAAAAACTACCTATTAATAAACATGAAAGCCAGTGTTCTGAATAAAGATTACTAAAAATGTGTACACCAAAAAATAACTTTTCTTGAACGTCCCAGATTTTTATAGCCCAGCATTTTCAAGCCATTTGATATTTTTTGCTAACTGACCTGTAATCTTTTAATTCTACTATATTTTAATTACTGCTTTTTGAATAAAGAGGTTTTGACCAAATTTTCCTGGAACCATGTATAGGCCAGGAGTTATGACCAGGTCAAATATGGTTGCGATCCATTGTTTGGTTTTCTTATTATAAAAGTAGCAAACTAAAGTACATGCAAACAGAGTCATATTGAGCTTTATAAGAGGATGGATCAACTGACAACTTCAATAATTAAATTCTATCCTTTCATAGTACCATATTAATTTTATTAGACTAAATTACACCCAAACCTAAAAATGTTGATAGCTTTGGTGTCAATGAATGAAAAAAATGTTGATAACTGGTGTATTAGATAAACTACTTTAATATATTTCCATTTCCCATTCAATCCAACGCTCTAAGAAATTGTATCATTGGAAACCTCAGCCAAAGGGGAGCAACTCCAACCTTATCGTTAAAAGGTTTTGAAAATTTGTAAAAACAAATCTATTTAACAGTATAATTATATGAAATAAATTGATTTGCATTCATAAATGGTTGTTTTATATGTTGTGTAACATTATTTCCTAATGCTTTTCTTGTGTAAATTCATTAAAATCAATTTTTGATGAAGCATTTGAATACTAATGATCATAACACTAAAATAAAAAAATCTGCTTTTAAAATACTCCTCACCCAATAAATAAAAATATTTTAAAAAAGAGAATAATCTTCCTTGGTCTCATTTCTAGCGAGATTTTCATTTAAATAGCAAGATTTCCACTTTCTATTTAGCAACGTGTAAACAAAGGGTTGAGTGGCTGGATTTGGCTGTAGTGGGATTGAGTGAGTACTGGCGGAATTTGGTCGCTGAATAGGTTAATAAATGAAATAAGGAAGAAACAATTCCTTCAATATTTTCAGTTATCAAAAGCAGCAGATTCCACCACTACTGGCTATAGAGAACATGATAACAGTTTAATTTGCCTGTGCCAGTAGGTCATGACCTCCTTGGGAAGATGGGTGATTCTTTTAAATAAAATATAACGCAAAAAAAATATTCTATTGACACTGCTTACCATGAAACTTTTTATCCAGGATCATCTGAGATAACTTCTTTTCTACAGTCACCTGAAAATTATAAAAGATTTGTCAGAATAAGAAGATGCCGGATGGATCAGCAAAGTTATACAAATATACACATTTTCTATAGATCTATAATCATTATGGAACAAGCATTAAAAAATACTGTCATAAGATATTTCAAATATTTTAAATGATCGTCTTACCAGCGGTAACTTGATAAGATTTGCAACATGCAGTACTTGCACTTTGGAGAAAGGTTCTATGATACGACACAAATTCTGCTCAAGTAGGTTGTCATATAATGTCTTGAGATGAGCTTGAACAATAGGATCATCTTCAAGTTGGGCTTTGTAGGTTGTTAGAGTCTAAGATTTAAAGCAGTTTAGTATTTATTGAAAAAAAAAATGCAAATACATTTTAACTGACTATATATAGACTACAATTATTCAATTGATTACACAATTAACATGATCAAACATCATTAATACAAGTAGTTGGTGAACAATATGTACCATTTTTTTAATCACATCATCTGAAAATAACCTCATTCAAATTCCAAATAGTGAAACCTACTTTCTGAAAATCTGCCAAAGATCTTTTATGACTGGCTTGCGCAATGCTCTTCATTGCATCCACATCTGGTCCACTGTATTTAAGGGCCAGTTTGCCACTGACAATAGCCTGCACTTCATCAGCACTTAAAAGATAGAGCAAATTTAAAAGTAACATTTTTAAACTGTAAAATACACAAGGTGATTCTTGATTTCCAATGCAAACCCTTATAAAAATGCCTCAACATTTCTTATTAATAAAAACTAATTGGAAAGAGTTGGAGATTAAATGTCGAATCATTATCAGAGTTCAAAACAAATCAAAATAAATTTTCTTTAAGAAAAACACAAGAAAAAACCATTTAAATAGTCAGCAAACATGCATGTTATGAAAATTTCTTACGTGTTAAGCATAATTTTACACAGCAACATATACTTGAGGGAAGTAACAGCCTTAGGACTATCTATAGAATCATAGCCTTCAAATGCTTCATAGAAATAAGAGTAAGCTGTTTTGAAATCTCTCTCATCTGCTGCATGCAGAATCCCTAAAGAGTTCAGAGGAAAAAAAGGTATTATGAAAAATATATTTTACCAGGTACTACTATTTATTGAAAATTATTATTATTATTGCCTTAAGACTGGCATTTTTATTTGAAAATCGATGGCTTGCTGCTATATATTAAATATGTAAATGACAAACTAGTAAGTATTGTTCCAATGAAATGGAAATGTTGCAAGTAAACCATTGTTAACCCACGAACGGTGCTGGTTACTATTCTGTACTTTTTATAGGCAATTGAGAGCTGTTTGAGTGCCTTGGAAAAAGGTGATTTTTCACATGCAATAAAAGTATATATTTATTGAAATTAAATTGAGTGTGAAATCATATTGGCAATTTTTTTAATGCTATTTTATACTCTGTGAACGTTACCTTGACCTTGGTGTGGCCAAGAATAAAGAAAATAATGAAAAGTTGTAGTTTCAAGTATCTCAAACTACAATTTTTAAAAAGCATATTATTATAATGTTTATATAATATGATAGCATTTTTATTTATCTTTCAGAAAATTATTATTTGTATATGTTTTACTAATTAATAGATTTAAAAAAAAAATTCTTCTGATACCTATAGTTACGTTCAAGTAATCAAGCACGACATAAACAAAATAAACATTACTAAATAGCAAGAAACAGATAAAATTTAAAAAGATGCTACATTAATATTTAATCCATAAAATGAATTATAAGAAAACCTATAGAGAAGAACATCCAATTATTTTTTGTTGGTACACAATCATCTGCAATATAGTTTTGAACGAGTCCTGTTGTTGGGGCAATTCCTACTCGTTTTAGGCCTAGGTCTAAATCTTCCGAACTTTCGCTTTCTGACCCACTAGAAAAATAATCAGAATTATTATTGTCTTCATGTGTGATCCGAAAATCATTTTCCGAATCACTAAGTCATTAACTAAAAAGAATTATCAAAAAGATTCTTAACTGATTTATTTTGTAAGCCAGATGGTCCATCTATGGCCTCATCCATCTCGCGAAAATCTACTTACACAAATTTGCTTGATAAAGATAATTGTAAAAAATAACTCTGAAGTTTAAAAAAAGGACACAGAAGAGCGAAAAACTGAAGCTTATTTATTATTAAAAGGAAGTAGTTTAAATTTGTGTAAAATATTGAACTGGAAGTTGTTCTTTCAACGCAATTTTTATCGGCCGACACAATACAGGCAGACCACAGTTCGTGGGTTAAGAAACAGTAGCATGACAAGTTCAAAAAGTAAACTAATACAGGCTGCTAACATCTAAAACCAGTGAAAGCAAACAAAACTACTTACCCGACTGTTGGTCCAAGGCAGCTTGAAGCTTAGGTGGACAATAAATGCCATTGGCTGTGGTTCTACCTGAGGTTAAGGCAGCTCTGAAGAAACAGGAAACATCAGGATTAAAACTCAAGTTAAATATCAATTATCTATAAAAATTGGAAGAAATGCACACCACCCCAATGTAATGGAATTGTCAACCCTTCAACGCTGTTTGAATTGGGAGGGAGAAAAACTGAATTAAACAAACAAGCAAAAGGCCAAACAACAACAGAAGTTATTTATGGTTGTTGACAAAGTGGCTCTAGCCTTAGAAGTTAGTAATCTTAGAAAAATGAAGTCATGTGGGTAAGCAGGCAGTCTATAGGGCAATTCTGATTGAGTTTGTGTGTTAGAAGATATGTTTTGCTGGCATCTCTGAATATAGGTCCACCTCATCCCCTTCCACCTAAATGATGAACATTCATGTAAATGTGTGGAAATTTTGGTTAAATTGATGATGTAGAGCTAAGACAAAAAAAACAAACAAAAAAAAAAAGGCTTGCATCAGATGTGTTTTGTGACTTCAGGAGGTATTTTAATAATTAAATATAAGTTAATTTATTTGATTTTTAAAATTTGCTTGTCTATTTGACAACCAAACTCAAACCAGGCATTAAATAAAAATGAATTTTTAACCTTTGTTATATTTAATATAAACATAGTTAATATGTGGCCATAACAATTTCACTTACTGTGGCAAAGACAATTTCAATTACTGTGGCCAAGATAATGTCACTTACTGTGGCTAAGACAATGTCACTTACTGTGATCAAGACAATTTCACAACCTGCCAACTTTCCTGGACAGTTATCACAACAGTGTACTAATTTTGAGAGGGGGGGGGGGGGGGTGTGTTTTGCTGCAAACAAGTTACTTGATGGCCAGCTGTACGACGGCCATAATGCTTTGAAAAAAAATAAGTAAACCAAAATTATTATTTCATATTTTGGTGAGATTTAATGTATGTTTTGGAAAAGCTGAACAAGCCTCACCTGGCCTTTGGTAGGTTACTAAGTGCATGATAAACTTTGCTCTCTAAAAGCTGGACTTCCACTAGCAATGCCTTATCATCAAGCTTTTTAAGTTCTCTCAGTAACAATGAGCCTGAAAAATTATTGTATAGTCAACATCACAACGTTATTTACCTTTCACTATCCATATATTTAAACTTGTACCAGTATACAAGTCCTGGCATCAACATTACATATTATAAATGCAGTTATTAAGCATACTAATTTTAATAAAGTAATCAAAGACTACATTTGGTTTACAAATAAATACAAAAATCGTTTGCTTAGGCACCGGTGTTCATTATCATAAATAAAAAATCTTTTAAGGAGAAACAAACCTAGTTGTAGGGCTTCTGGATATCTTTTGGTATCAAAATACAATGATATCAGACGTGCCTAAATTTAAAGAAAAAAATTGTGATTTAACTTTTGGTGCTTAAAGACATGCATTGATAAATTATGTAAATACTTGTAGAAAAAAACAACTCTTTTTGAAACTTTAAAAAAATAAAAGCATATAAAAACACTAATTGCGATAAAATTAAACTTTATAAAAGTGTACTATAAATTTATCACAAACTTCTAAAGCCTGGCGCAGAAAAGTTCGTCTTTCATCTTTTGCCCACTGTATACATTCTTTGCACAATTCAACCTGAAATACATGATAATGTATTTAAGCCTAATTTATAACAATGTACAACTAAATACAGAAAACCCAAATTCTAAAATCTGGATGTTATGTATTTACCATAACAAATTATATCTTAAGCTTAAAAATTCTAATGATCTACTTTCCAACAAAATATACATACAAAACTTTTTATTCGATAAACACATCCGTTTAAAATGTCAATATATTCCATCAACTAAACTCCGGAACTTCTAAAGTTAAAAATTTCATTAGATCAATGACACTTTAATAATAAACCAACCAGAACTTTGCTCCATTAATCAATATTGAAAACTGACCTCACTTCCAGTGGCTGCTTCCATATCAAGAAAGAGATCAACAAGAGAGCGGACAAGCTTGGCTGCCTTGGCTTTGCTCACAAGGTTTAGGAATGGACGTACACATTTTATCAGGTTTGCCAACTCTAAAAAAAATGTTTAAAAAAAATTTAAATAAAAACCAGATAACATAATTTAAATACTTGAAGAAAAACTTTAATTATAGATATCTGAGAGGCTTAGTATCTATTTTTCTTATATATAGCTTTGGCATCTCACGAGTCAAGAAAGTAAATCTTCCAATTTATATTATATGTCTTTTAAAAAAAATATCAAAGAGTCATTAATAAGTTAAATGAAAGAACAGCTATGGTTTACTGAGCATAATAAGTTAAAAAAAAAACAAACCAGTAGCTTTATTTTGATCAGCATAAAGTTTTCCCATTTCAAGAATAGCCTGCTCTTTGACTTTAATTGCTTCATCATCAGCCTGTGGGATGTCTTGCTTCACTGTTTCCAAAATACATGTATTTAATTTATTAGAGCAAATCAACAGAATATTTTCACACTTAGCAAATTAACCCTTTTAGAGACTGAGCCTTTTGGGACTGTCTGCGCCAAGCAGACTGAGCTCTTTTCACAAGCCCTGCAATTACTTAAAAAAAAAAAAATTATAAAAATTAAACTAATGACTTTACAAATATGAAACTATATATATATTCATGTAGAGAATTGAATGAACTAATAGGATATTTATGAATCAAAAGTAAATGTTAACAATTATGCAAATGAGATTTCCTGATTTGCATAATTAATGCATTCACATTTTTTCACACTGAGAATAAACATGTCTTACTTGCAGAATTTTGTTAAATATTACTATTGTGGAAGCCTAAGTAAGTCCTAACCCATATTTGAATGAGATTCATTGTGAAAACTGCAAAAAATATTCCCATGGGGCTGCTTTTGATTTTGACATATTTCAAGGTCACACAATTTTTAATTATTTTCAGGTGTCAATAGGTACAAAGAAGTGATATTATTATAAGTGGTTTTATATAGCGTGGTACCCCAGTCAAGAGGCAAGAACTTAAAAAATTTATTAATTAATTAACATACATTAATTAAATAAAACAAAACAAATGTATATTTAAAACTATTTACATGTCAAGCCATGGATGACACTCAGCTGCATCGTTTTTCGGTCAGAAGTGGGAATCAGTCAGGATAGTAGAGTTTAAAAAATGTGTTTTAACAGCAGTTTTGAAGGTTGTGATGGTCGGTATATTGCGGATGTGTAATGGAAGAGAATTTCATTGTTTAGGGGCACAGAAAGATAAAGATCGTTTTACCATATGTTTTTGTGCGAGTCTTGGGGACAGAAAGAATACGCACGTCTGCGAAGAAGCAAAGCTGTCGAAGGGGTGAATGGACAGAAAGAAGTTTGGTAAGATAGGAAGCGCAGGAATTCAAGAAAATGTTGTGGCAGAGAACAGAGAGTTTGTAGTCAATCCGACTAACATGTCAAAATATCGTAAAGTATAAATGGATGTCACCATTAAAATGGGGATATGAGCAAGAAAGGCAAGAAGCAATGGTACGAAGACCGACCAGCCAGCCCGTATAGAGGCTTATATTATGGGGCAGATAGATCTGCCTTTTGTCTTTTTTAGCATAACACTCTGGGCTGATAGATCGGCCCAGCATACACAGGAGGGTTAAATAAGTAAAAAAAGAATTTAGCTTCTTTAGTAAATATGCTGATTCATTTAAATAAGATAAATGCAAAAGTAACCAATATACATTGCTAATTGAAATCTTAAAACACAGTGCAAAATAAAAAATAAATGGCAATATAAATACAAGTCCCATGAAATCTCTAAACAAAAGCATAAAACATTGCTAATAATAACATTCAAATTAAGCCACTGATTAATAAAAGAGAGAGGGGCAGATGACAATTAAAAAAAAAAATCCTAGTCTTTAGCAATCTGTAAAAAAATTAATGAAAGTACATAATCTAGAAATGAAGTAATAAAGTACAAAGTCTAATATGAACTATGATGTTTGTAAACAGTAACCATCTTAGAATAGATTTAAAAGTTCACCCATTATTTGAAATAGCCTACACAAAGCAACACCTTTCACTGTTAAATATCTAAAGCAGGTACCCAGTAGCGAGGTTTGTAACGGCAAGTGTTTTTAAACAGCGTGAAAAGTGGTTAGGCTAATTTGAGTTCCAACCATGAAGGCTAATAAAATTGATTAACAGTTTGAAATCAGATTTCTGAACCAGATAAGGGTCTAAGATAAGATACATTTTTTTTATTGATCCAAAGAAATGGAAATGTTTTTTTTATTTTACAATGTACATATTCCTTTTCAGCACATAAATAAATACATATTTTAACCAAGATAACATTTTACAATGACAATTATAAAAATTTCAGCGCAAGACGAATTAAGTATTTCTCTAGCGTAGAAATCAGCTATCAATGAACCTTCCTATTCTTAGTGTGATAATATTGGCTTAAATAGTGATCATTTTGATTTTGTAAGTGCTGGGGCAAAAAATTGTAATGACTGGTGAACAAAAATACTTTTTATATCTTTCATACATTCAAGATACAGACATCATTTTGAGCACCAGATTTATTCTGTGCCTTGCCATTTATTATGTTTCAGCAGAGTGCTTTTCGTTTACTAAGACAAAACACAGAATAGTTGTCTGAAATTGAAAGAGCCCCCGCCCACACATGAATTATTTGTTATTTTTGATAAATTAAATTGTTTTTAAAGACTCATCTTAAACCCCTTTTAAATTAATTTTAAGATTGACAAGGCCAGTTACTGCCAGTGTCTAAATGAGTTGATCATTGCCTTAACTCTTTCTCTCCGGAACAACGCTCCCATTGTCGATTTGAAATGAAGATTTTCGCGTATCGACGATGGCATCGTCGATGTATAAAAACCTGTTTATTTCGGCTGTTTTCTTAGCTATTGGTTTTTAGTTATTTTAAATCAATTCCAGAATGATTTCTCTTTGTTTAACATCTGGATTTTCGGTGTTTAAAAGAGGTTTTGCAGAGAACGAAGTGTTTCAAGCGGTTGTTTTGATTGCCCATTTTATTTTTGTTTACAAACATGAAATCTTGACCTGACCCATATCTGGTGATTGATCTAATAAAGGTTGAAAATATTCTTCTGATGATGATTCAGACTGTGATTTTATTTTTTAAAAAGCAGAAGCTGATTCCTTTGAATAGTATGAATATAATCCTAGTACTAGTATTAGTAGTACTAGAGACAAAATTATGAAAATTGGTAATTCATCAGCTGATGAACAACCAGCCCCGCCCCCAGATAAAATGCACATCACTATGAATTGTCTTTAGGCTTACCATAGCTAAACACAGATGACAAATGTATGGTAAATGTTCCATTTACCATTGCCATTATAATTGTTAGTACATACAAGAATACAGTGAAAATATAATTTTTTGTGTGACTGTGACAATGGATAATGTGCTCTGAGGTTTAATTTTTTACGTTTTTTAAGTTGATATTTATTATTTGTGATGCACATATGGACATAGTTCAGAAAAATACAGTTCACTAAAATTTTTGTTACACTTTGGATTATATCTTTCTCCTCGTGTGACTTGGAAGGAGCGTTTTGTGAACAGTTGGTAAGTTTTTAATTTTTCTTTAATGATAATCACATTTATTTTTAAAATGTAAACCCAAGTCTGATTTGCTTGTAAAGGGCATAATTTAGCCGGTGAAGGCATAATTCTCCTTTAATTCCATACCAAACTTACAACTTAGCACTTTCTGATGAAAAACAAAAAAGTTATATTGAAGACAACATAGTGCCTTACAAAAACGCAAAATAGATAATTCCGTCAGAATGCGGGAAATAATTCCGGAGAGAAAGAATTAACTACTCTTACTGACTTTTAAAAATTTTAATTTGAGATTAAAATAGGAGGTATATCAGTATAGTGTATAGTATAGGCATAGGATTTTTTAAAAGTTTAAAAGTTAATATAATTTTAATCATATTTTTCAACTTGAAAAATGATTTCAAAATAAAGTAAATACAGAAATCAGCACTTCAAGCTGCATGTTTTTTTTTTTACAATATATACACTCCGTGTCAAATATTTAAGTCCTGGTTACTGTACTATCACTTTGCCTTTTACTTACTTTTATAGTTCGCTTAGCCGGTGACCAAGCGATTTTGAAGTTATTTTTCCGACATGTGAAAAAATTATTAAGATTTTCAACTTAAATAATGATATCTCTGAAACTAGCTCTAAAACTAAACTTTAAAAACAACCCAAATTTTAATAAACATTTACCGATCGTAGATAAAATTTCAGTAGCATTTTCTTTATTTGTTAGTTTCAAATTTATAGCTTGCTGCATCAACACGGCCGCCATTTTGTTGAGCAGCTAATTTTAGTGAAATCAATTGCGACGGCAATATTAACCAACCCATGCAACAGACAGTCAATCTGGACAATTCTTTGGGAAACGATATTGTAAAATTACAATAAATAATATTGGTTAATATTAATAACCGTTATTTTTAACTTGTAAATAAATTAAATTATGGATAAAAAGTTTGAGATCTATGGCATAATCTGCAGATATAACTAATTTTTTTTTTTTTTTTTTAAAAATGTAGAAGTAGTTTATAACTTAAGGGACATAATCTAAAATTATAAATTAGTCATGAAAGTTATTATTTATTCTCGACCCTTTCAAAAACGTTTTATATTCTGTCACCATTTCGTAATTACATTGTCACGTGACCAGTGGTAGGACTAAGGTTAGTGTCTCCAGGAATGGGTCAAGCTTTTTGGCGCCACTTCCATGAAATAAACTCAGCCAAAATACCGTTCGTTCTAGCAATGATTCACTTCTTGAACAGCGTTCCTAAAAATGAATCACTTCCTGAACCTAATTCCAACAATGAAGCACTTCTTGAACATCTTTCTAACAATGGAGCAATTCTTAAACCCAATTCAAACAAAGTAGCACTTCTTGAACCACGTTTCAATAGTGAAACATGACGTAATACATTTGAAAACAAAGCAGATTTTTCAAGAGCTGGCAAGGATTTTAAAATTGCACTAGAGGAGACAGGGAAAAAGTTGTGAACAATGATTTTCCCCTCTAATTAACATTTAAACAATTTAGAGAAAGTGAGAGAACACTACTAAAGTTAGCATACAAATTGCTCTAACATTAAAAAAATAATAATTTACAAAAAATGTTTTAAAAAAAAGTAAAACTTGTATGTTATTTGATCAGACGTGAAACAACATAATGACTCCAGCCTGAAGTAAACAAATTCAAATCAATAAAAATAGTTTATTTCCATAATGAGGATTTTAAAAATAAAATTCATTTATTTATGTTACAATCTTTATATTTCTAATCGTATTATCCATGTAGATTATCGAAACTTTTTGTATTTAAATGTCTATGTCTATGCTTTGCTTCTTTTCAAATCCTGCGGGTAAAAAAAGGTTTAAATACATAGGCCTATATATTTTGGGGTAAAGGCTACAAAATTTCACCGATCCTGTTGTAAAAATTTACACCATTACTCCACTGAATTTCATAAGCTTTTAAGAAATCATAAGTTGGTCGAAAAATTTCATCACATTGTGGAAATTCAATGCAAAATAATGTTTTAAAAATGTATTAAAATTCATTTCACAAGGAAAGTCTGTGCAGGAAATATTTTTAAAAAACTTAGAAGGAAGAAAACGAAATATAAATTACTACTTTAATTTAATATGAATCCTTTGGCTTCATAGAAGGCATTACTACCATTCTGTGCGTACTTTTTTGTATTATGAATTTTAAGAAAATTATTTTCTAATTCTTCGAAAGAAAGTCTTTATTAAAAAGTTCTAAAATATTAATTTTTGTGTGTGCTCCCCCCCCCCCCCTCGC